TACCATGCAGATAACCCCTTTATAATACCTATTGTGACCCCCTTCGTCCCAACAGGTCAATGACCTCTGGCCCAATAGTTCCTTAGAAGGAGATTCATAAAAGAATTTTACTATATTTCTATATAAAACGTTCATTCCCTATTGTGGCTCCGCCCAACTCCATGGGGTCATGATTTGAACAATTTAGAATCTACACTACCCCAGGATGCTTCCACATAAGTTGTTTTTCTGGCTGAGTGGTTCTTGAGAAGATTTTTTAAAAGTATTTTCCTTATATTTCTTATAAAACTTTGATTTCCTATTGTGGCTCCGCCCAACTCCCCCGGGGTCTTGCTTTGAACTATTTAGAATCTACACTACCCCAGGATGCTTCCACGTAAGCTTCAGCTTTTCTGGCCGAGTGGTTCTTGAGAAGATTTTTTAAAAGAATTTTCCCTATATTTCTATATAAAACTTTGATTCCCTATTGTAGCTCCGCCCAACCCCCCAGGTTTATAATTTGAACAATTTAGAATATACACTCCCTCATAATGCTTTCACATACATGTAAGTTCCAGCTTTTCTGGCCAAGTGGTTCTTGAGGAGATTTTTCCGATATATTTCTATGTAAAACTTAGATTCCTTTTTGTGTTCCCGCCCAACCCCTGGGATTATGATTTGAACAATTTAGAATCTACTTGACCCCAGGATACTTTAAGATAAGTTTCAGCTTTTCTGGCAAAGTGTTTCTTGAGAAGATGTTTTTAAAGACCTCACCCTATTTTTGTCTTTTCTTAATTATCTCCCCCTGTGACATGACTTGTGGCCCTTCATTTTTACAATTTAAATTATTCTTCACCCAAGAATGCTTTGTATCAAGTATGGTTAAATTGGTCCAGTGGTTCTTGAGAAGAAATCTAAAATGTGAAAGGTTTACAGACGGACGAACAAAATGTCCTCACAGAAGCTCACTTGAGCTTTCAGGTCAGGTGAGCTAAAATAGTGATAAGTAAGTTTATTGTCAGAAGCAATACCTACAATTAAAACCGAACTCAAGGTCTATAATCGGAAAACTATATTTACAGGTGCTATTGCTGTTCTGTGCAGAATTTCGAGAGAATATTTTCTTATACAGTCCAAAGTAAAAATTTCGCTCTAGGTAATAACCACATCCTACTTTGAAAGACAATTTTAAAAAATGAAAATCCAATGTACTTATATATCAGAAATATTTCTACGAATTTCTCTTTTTACATGTTCAGTGATTTTTAAGATTTTATTCATTCTAATGTAAAACTCTGATTCTTAAACCTACCCGTGAGGTCATAGTTTAATTAATTTAGAATCTTCACCATTTTTTTTGGAACAGTTGCCCTTGAGAAGTCTGTTTAATTAACCTTCTATATTTTTGCATTTCTTGATCATCTCCCCTTTGAAAAGGTCAAGCCTTCTTTGAAAAATATTAATTTGTCTGAAGAATTCTCTGTGCCAAATGTTGTAAGAACTAGTCAAAATTGAGCTTACTAGAAAACTGACCAGTCAGCAAGGGCCCCGCTGAGGGGTAGAAATATAAAGATGCAGCTCATTGAATGAGAATTTTACTTGATTACATTTCTTTTTAAATATTTACATTTGCAAATGTTTTCCTTTATATAACACTACTGAAAGCAAGCGTTTTTATAACTGTATAAATACAGGTACGGGGTCAAGAGGTCATAGATGTTCGTATGGATTAACGTTCGACGTATTATCTCATTGACGTCATAAAGGGTCGACGCGCAGATTACATACATGCCATTGGGTTTGAAAAATAATGTATTTCACACGTTAAAAGTCACAATCAGGCAAATTTAAAGTATGAATAAGTCACAAATGTAAATATAAGTAATAAGGTATCATTTTTTGAGTTTTATTGGGATGTTAAACGGGTTGGCACATGATCAAATCAAAATGACCAACCCGTTTTACATCCCAATAAAACTAAAAAAAAATGATGCCTTATTTCTCTAATATATGAAGATTATAAGTAAAACTGTATTTTTAAATATTCAAGAAAATTTCTGAATGTCCAAAAAACCTGTAAATAGTTACCTTGTGTTTAAATAAAACAGGGAAAACCTCATGTCTTATTAAAAAAACTAAGTTAATGTGTATTTAAAAAGATATAAGCAGGTGTTTTAAAAAATGCAAGCCTTCAGTGAATGCAAATATCACCCAACTTCAAATCAAACATCAGTTGCAGACAAAGGTGTTCATTAATCTTCATGTGACAGATAAAGTTAATTCTCTAAATTTTCTGCAGCAGGCTAGATAATTAATCCCAAGGGATTAAATGTACTGCTCTCTCGTCCTAAATTAACCATAAGAACTTATTTTTAACTCTGACAGAATGGGGTTATAATCTGATTACCGGTTAAAACTAGAAAACTGACCAGACAGCAAGGGCCCCGCTGAGGGGCAGAAATATAAGGGTCCAGCTCATTGAATGAGTTTTACTTGCTTACATTTTGATAAATAATATATGGAGATTATAAGTAACAACTGTATTTTTAAATTTCCAAGATAATTCCTGAATGTCCAAAAAACCTGTAAATAGTAACCTTGTTTTTACATAAAACAGTAAAAACCTCATGTCTTGTTAAAAAAAACTAAATTAAATGTGTATTTTAAAAAAAATTAAGCAGGTGTTTTACAAAAAGCAAGCCTTCAGTGAATACAAATATCTCCAAGGGTTGACCTCAACATCAAAACAAACATCAGTTGCAGACAAAGGTGTTCATTAATCTTCATGTGACAGATAAAGATAAGCCTAAAAATAAATTTTATGAAGCAGGCTAGATAATTAATCCCAAGGGATTAAATGTACTGCTCTCTCATCCTTTTCTTCTAAATTTACAACAAGAACTTTTTTTAGCTCTGACAGAATGGTTTTATTATCTCATTACCTGTTAGAATTAACAACATTAAGGCAGCAAAAAAAATTTTAAGAATGATATATATATTTCTTGGAATTCAATAAAATTATTATAAATCATTGTGTACAGTATTTTAACCAAAATAAAGTACGAACATTATTTTAAATCTAAATACCAGAGACTGTATACATCATTCAAAATTGACCTTAACTTCAAAACAACGTTCATTTGCAGACAGAGGCGGTACAGTTGTAAATCTCAATGTGACAGATAAAGATAGTGCTTAGGATTTTCTTCATGTGGAGGGTTAATTAATCCCAAAGGACAAATTGCACAGCCTTCCCAGTTTACAATGGTAACATTCTTAGCAGTTATCTCTCTTTGTCCATCCATTCTTATGCATAGTAAGGAACTACCCCACCATCCCAGCTCCAAACCAAAAGACATAGAGAACCAAATTACTTAGCATCAAAATATGTATTTCTGCCTACTGAACTACCATACCAAATTTGAACTTGATTGGGCAATCATAAAAAAGTTATTAGAAAAAAAACATAAAATTTGTGGACGGAAGAATGACAGACGGACAGACAGACAGACAGACGGACGGACAGACCGAGTGATTACTGTAGGGCACCCACAAATCCTTGCGGAGCCCTAATTAGAAATAAAATCCAGAGTGAAAAAATAAAACAGAAAAAATGTAAATATTGATAAGCAATATACAAACTCTGAGCCGTAAAGTCAAAACAAATTTAAGCTGATGTGAAATTAAGATCTTGATTGCACTTGAAAATATAGCACAACATCATTCTGTAACTTTTATATAACATGAACATTATTTACAATATTTACGATTTAAAAACAATTTGTTGCAAAGTTGCATGAAAAAATATTGTTACATGGTATAGCTTTATAAGTGAATACATTATTTGAAATAAATGCAATACAAAGAAAATACGCAATTAAATTGAATTTCATTTTCATTCAAGTTTTGTAAAGACAAACACTGTTTGTATTTCTAATTTTTTCCAATGACACAATATTTCTCAAACTAAAATAAAAATGTATTAGAATTTCTCATTTTTTTTTTACATTCTTTAATATGTTCAGTTTGACTGCGTAAATAGTGTTTACCTACATATCACATTAAAATAACCTTAAAAACCACATGTATTTAGAAACATTTATCCATTCATCTAGTTGATCAACCATTTGAGAATCTTGCTTCTTTGCAACTTTGCCAAATAATTTAATAAATTCTGCTTTCACTTAATTTGGTAACTGCATTCAAGTCTCTTCAACAAAATATCTCCTTTTTAAGAAGGAAAAAACCTTGGAACCCTATGTACATTGCAACCCCTTTATAATTGCTAAGACAGAGAAAGGGTGTCAGTAATATACAGGGTTCGAAATTGATTCATCATGAAAGAAGACTTATTATCCCGCTTCAGACAAATTTGTCGATTACTGATTGAATAAAAGCTAATCACATGACGCCCTGAAATTTTCCGTATTACGTCTCCGTTTCTATATTACGTCTCCGTCGAGCCGTAATATGAAAATCGGGCACGCGATTCCGTTCGCAGCGTTGTTATTGTAAATAAAAATGGCGGCTAAGAAACGGTTTACGTAGGTAGTTTAGTTAAATTTTTTGTTACCGTAACGATATTTTATGTTGATTGTTATAAGATTAAAACTGAATATTTTCATAATATGCATAAATATTCTGTTAATATTATATTAAAGGTCTTCAGCGGGATAAATTCGTAACACAGTCAGTTAGTGACCTAATACGAATTCATACAGGGTGTGAAATGGAAATCCGTATTGGGCGAGGCGAATATAAATGGAATTCAGCAAACTGTGCAGTTGTATTAAGGGGCGTAGCCATGTTGTGTATAAAGAAGTTTTAGTTCAATTGTGGTTTACATTATAAAGTCAATGTTAGATCAGACGTCGCTTGCCCAATGTAAATGTATGATATTATACACTTTCGAATGTACCGAGAAAGAGAATCAACATCCAAGTAATAAAGTGACAATGAACGGCATCATGCAGACATTTCCAGTAGCAGAAATTAATGCGCTAAAATATGACACTATAAAAGGACTGGACTGTACATTGCCCCCCCCCCTTTTTTTATTAAATATCTCATATGGGTTTAATGTGTTTTGATTTATGTTTTCCTTTGTCAAAATAATTCTTAACCGTTACCACTTCTTGAATACAGCTCTGAATTAATGGAATATGCTCATCAGAAACTTCAAAAGTGTTGTAAATGTCCTGTACATTTTGGGAAAGATCCCAGGCATCAGCATCACAAAGATGACTTGAGGCAACAGATTGGTCTTCAGTTGTCTTGGCTTCCATAAGCTTTATTACATTTTCATCCAAATATTCCAGTAAATCTTTGTAATTCTTAGTAAGTAAAGACAAAAATATTATCTGAAGAAGTTCTGATTTATGTATACAAGAAATATAGACAGTTTTGAAGATTTTTGGTGCAAAATAATTGCAAAAAATAAGACAGAAAAGGCTTGTATAATAACTTGTTAAAGGTGCATAAACACAGATTGGAGATTCATATTTTCTGTATAACATTACGACGTGTATGTTTTAATAGCATTTTACACAAAAACAAATTAAAAATCTTATTTCATGTAAAAGTTATTAACACTTTTGGAATTTTTGAATGGGTTTGATTTTCACATCCTTGCACTCTCACAAAATTTACTTTTATTCTTAATATTGAGGAAAAGTGGCGATTTTGAGAGTAGAAATGTTAGAAGGCAAAGCTCATTTACAAGTATCGTCATTCCCCGGTAAGTGTTGTGTACAGAATTTAGCAAATTGATCACACCCGTGTTTTTGTAAACAGGGCATGAGCTCTATTATAGTTGATGTTTACGATTCACTGAGTGCGTTCAATCGTTAAAGTCTGCTCACCACGACTGCATGGGCTAACAATATATTGCATGTGTGTTTGACTTTCGAACACATCTACTCTGATTTTTCTGGATAATAGTTTTAATGTTTTTCATTTATACACAACAAAATTGCCTTTTTCTGAGGTATTACGAATAAAATTAAAATTTGTGAAAGTGCAAGGATGTGTCAATCAAACCTGTCTAAATAAAGTTTTAAAAACTTTAAGATGAAATAAGATTTTTAATTTATTTTTGTGTAAAATGTTATGACAATATATATGTGATAATATAATACAGAAAATATTAAGTTAAAATCTGTGTCCATGCACCTTTAAATAGTAAATGGATTACCTTTGATTGTGTATCATGAAGAAGCACTGTAAATAAACGATGGATAAAATAAATGAATTTAGTCTGACAGACGTTTACAACTAAAATTAATAAGAAAATCACAAGGTATATTAATCTTTAGTGAATAGTTTTATTTAATTCATATGTGAATTCAGTACCCAGCAAGATTCCTTCATTTTTTTTAACAGATACAAAATGAAGTACATGTTATTTATAAATGAATGTTGATTGTTTTAAAGAACTAGGCACGCTAACTGGAGATTCGGCTTACATTTTGCACATATTTACTTTAAAAATAACTGCGATTTAGTCTTAAAATCTTTGTGTACTACAAAGAACAATTCAATGCTAATAAATAAATGATTTTGATACCAAAGCTCAACAATAAATATTATCCCGTATTCTATCTCTTGAAATAAGGGGAGGGGGGGGGGGGGGGGGGGGGGGGGGGGTAAACGATATTTACCATGAGCATCGGACTTTCAAGCATCACCTTATTTTGAAATGGTCTTGAATGTGATTTTATGTTTCTTATTTTTTTTTCTTGTGTTTTATGCAAATAAATTTTATATATAAATATATAAAGAAATACAATTCATAAGTTGTAAATTGTTTTGAAAAATAAGCATTATTATCAGTTTTTGTATAAAAACATATCCCCCCCCCCCCCCCTTGGAACACAAAAAAATTTTATATGAATTTGTAAAATGACAGTCCATATTATCAATAAAAGTAGTTTCTCCTCACATTGGGAAAGATGTTTTGAAAATTTTTTTTCTTCTTTCTATTGACTTAAGCGAAAAAACACGAGTTTTAACAAAATTTTAAAGTTATCTCTCGTTATTTTCAAAAGAAGTAATGTTTTATGAAAATCCATATAAATATCAATATAATTATTAAAAAATCATTTTAATATCTATCTTAAATTTTGAAAATTGGCTTGGAAGTAGGAGGGTGATCACATGTAATGATATCGTTTACAGTTCTTTGAATTGAAGTTCTTTGAGTTCATTTTTTAATGAAGCAAAACCTCAGCTTCTATTTCATTTCCAACCCCCTCTTCCCCCTCCAAAAATTCCTTTATTAAATATGAATGATTAAATGAATGATAATTTTTCAGGTACAAAATTTTTTGTAAGAATTTGCATTCAACACTGAATGTTCAAAAAATAAAACTCATGCATTCGCCAGTCCAATATTAAACTTTCAATCTAGATGACAAAATTAAGAAATTTTGATCTGAAGGGATTTATATTTACATGGTAATATGGACTTATTCAAAATCTTCATTCACCAAGAACATGTAATTCAAGTCCAGCATCTTAAGCAAGTTTAAGAGTGTTATAATCTTGATGCATTCTTAAAATTTTGGTTAAGATGAAATATATGGAAATAACGAAATGTTTTCAAGCTAAAAAGCTCATGAAATGATACAAAATAGGAGCAGAGCAAACAAAAACATGTAAGGAATGAAACTTTTTTATGTATCTACTTATATTATACGATATATAACATATCTTGCGGCAGTTTGCACATCATACGTCACAAAGGTTTGAAAAAAGCGTAAACTGCCCCAGGTTATGTTATATTGTATAACATATGTTGAAATAAGCTAAATTCCCTGTACCTTAATTTCAGTGTAGACAATGACTCATTTTTTCCTCCAATAAATGGCTTTAAATTGATCATAATTTCAAAGTAACGTCTTGCGGACTTACGTTTTGACGCAACTCATTGTGACATAGGCAACATGTGTGATACGAAATGGATTAAATCCTTTATTTAATCAAGTTACAACTAAAATTAAATTAACAGAGGTGGGATCAGGTGCCATGAAGGAATGTGCATCTCCTGCCAGCCGGTCACACCCACCATGTGCTCTTTATCATGATCGGGAAATAATAAAAAAAAATGTCAATTCAGTGTGTAATTAAAATGACTAAACAATTAGTATGGGGAATCATCAGTTAGCATTTGACTCAATGATAAATTGTTCTTGCTGAAAAGGTCATTGAATGGACCATAGAACTTTTAAAATGATGACTTTAAATGAGACTGCTGAAATTTTTGTTTCATCAACTTGTTAGTCAATAATTAACCTCATTTAAGATTGTAAATATTTAGATAAGACTTGTGGCTTTTTAGTAGTGAACCGATAACTTTTACTTGGTTCATTTTCTGAAAAATGTAATTCGGATCCAGCATATAAACAAGTCATTTAAAGTGCATCCTTAGATGTATAATTAATGCAAGATTGTTCAACATAGGGCATATGCCAACTTAAGAATAAACCTGCTCAAAAAACTTTAACCTGTTCACTCATCTCATCTGGAAAATGTGAATCAGCATGCAAAGCAAGCACAATAGTGTGCGTCCTTACATGTACCATCTCTGCAAGTTTGGTGAACATATTCCTTATAGTTAAGCAAGAAATGGGTGTCAACTGAAATTCCGCACTCAAAACATGCCTGGTAGTATGTATCCATAGATCTGTCATCCATGCAGGTTTGGACAACAAAGTGCTTATAGTTACATGTACCTAATAATGAAACTTGCATGGAACACATAAATCTAATCTGATCACTAATCTGTAAAAAAGTAAGTTGGATCCAGCCTACAAAGTAAGCCTTCTACACATGTGGTGTGCATCTTTAGATACCGTCTATTTAAGTTTAGTCACCATAGGTTTCATAGTAACTTGGAAATGAAGCCTGCACCAAAGCATTAAACTGTTAACTCATCTAAAGAATATAGGTGAGATTCAACAGCTGATGCAAGCCTGGTAGCGTACATCCCTAAATGCCTCATACATAAAGTTAGGGCTTATAGTTACTAAGAAACACAACATGCATAAATAACTTTAACCGGCACTAAAAACGTAAATCTGCTCTCAAATTGTCATTTTGACTAGCCAAGGAATTCTGACACCACCGTGTATAGGGGCACACGTTGGGGTTCGGTTTAGTAACATATGGGGTTTCAACTCCGAAGCGGTGATTTTTTGAATTTGGAAAATATATTTGTAAAAGTCCTTTGCTAATGAATTCTTTGCGTCCAAATGACATGCGCACGGGATGTAAGAATGTATTGCCTTCCAATTTAGTGCAATAGGCTAATTGAAAGCCTTACGGATTTTGCAAACACTTCTGGACAGGTCAGTCGACTGGGAAAAGTTGTGGTGTCGCTGACATTCTCTGCTTTATAATTTTCAAAAGCAGTCCTTTAAAGCTTAATTTAGGGATGATATGTAAAGATTAATATATATACCATCCATGAAAACTTTTTTCACCTTATTGCACTAAATTGGAAGGTAATACATTCTTACAACTTGTGCGCATGTCATTTGGCCGCAAAGAATTTATTAGCGAAGGATTTTTACAAATACATATTCCAAATGCAAAAAAAATCACCGCTTTGTAACCCCATATGTTACTTAACCGAAACCCCATGTGTGCCCCTATACACGGCGGATACGCTCTTCTCTTCATGAACCCAAAAGACGGGATTGTTTTCGTCATGTGATCTCGAATCAATCAGGTACGCGCATATTATCATCAACAGTAATAAAGACGCGTGATTAAAAAGATAAACCAAAGTTTTTTTTCAAGAATATTTAAAAAGCAATAATTGAGTTATGTTTATTTATTATTAATAGAACAAATCGGAAGCTTTAATATAGATTCTTAATCGCATTATTATGACAAATGCTGACTGACGTTTTTCATACCAATTGTTAGTCCATTATTTATACACTGAATTGACGATGATTTTTTTCCGTTATTTTCTGATCATGACAACGAGCACACGGCTGGTGTGACCCGTTGGCAGGGGATGCTCACCCCTCCATGGCACCTGATCCCACCTCTGATGTTTCGGAGGTCCGTGTTTGCTCTGCTCTGATTTTGTATATTGTTTAATTGACCTTGAGATTGAATACTGATCGTTATCTCCATATCCTTCTTAGAATATATTGGATGATATAGAATCGTTTGTTATCTTACGGATAGTTGTTTACTTGCGTTTTTCAATTCCAATAAAGAGTCAAGAAGTATTCCGAACGCAAATATCGTCATTTGAAAGAAACAATTGCTGATTGGTCGACCGATCGAGAAAAAAACCCAACTTTATAAACACGTATGCCAAGGGTTCTTGAGGAGAGTAGCGTATCAGAAACCCTTGGCTAGCAAAGATGTCAAATTGTTAACCTGGTCATTCTTTTGTTTGCTGAAATAAGAGTATCTGGAACCTTGCCTGTTACAATAAAGCACACTAGAACCATCCTCCTTACATGTTTTATTAAGGTAGTGCATACATGTAGAAGTACTTAAAAAGAAAATTACACCAAAATCCTTAACCTGGGATGCCGATGTCAAGGTATCACACAAGTTCCTCCTACTTTGTAGAGGTGAGCTAAAAATGTTGGTTAGCGCTCTCCTGACCAACTCCTTAAAATAAGCCTACGCAAAACTTTTTTTTCAGAGGAAAGGAATTTTTTTTATTACTTTTTCGCCCCAAACCTTAAAATTTTTACGTTAAAAAATTCTAAATGAGTAAATAGATAGCCTCATATCCATTATTTTGATGCATCTGACAAATCTAAATGCTAAAGCTCGATAATTTTTACATCAACTACATGGCACTGTTTACCAACATGTACTACATGTAAACTATAAACTCTACATAATACAAAATTCCTCAGTTCATATGAATTTTTTTACCTTGAGTCTCCCCTGCTTCATGCTCTTGTACATGTATCTCTATGAAAAGAAATTGACAAACACATTGTTATATTGCATGTACATGATTATTTAATCATTATTACATATGTTATGACATTACATACAAATGTATGCATATTTTTTTAAATGATTAGGAATAATTCTACAAAGATCTCATTTTCATATAAGCATTAAGACATTACCTTTCAAAGGGTTTGTATCTGTGCGTTATGAGATGAAAAGAGGGAGATTGTAGTCCAATTATTTTTTTTTTAAAATATTTGATATCTGATCAGTTACATTAACAAATATTAATGCCTGGGATTTAAAATTAAAGCTCTTTTCTAGATAAATCATAAACAAACCTTTAGTATGATTCATAAGATGTCCTCCAGATGGATACAAGGATGATTCATTTCCATCTGCAAGGAAAAATTAGTTAAATATTTCAAAACCACTTGTATCACTTGTGCCTGATAAGTGTGAAAGAACTTCGTTTAGTTTTATTGGCATTCTGATATTATTATCTGAACCTAGTGTACAAATGAAAGCATGTGTCCACTGTGATTTGCAACCAATATTAAAGCAATATAAAACTAGAACTGTCCAATATGGACAAATACCCACGCTGTGTTTTTCTGAGTAAGTGCCATTTCACAAATATTTTATGGATCTATTAAGAGGTGTTCACCATTGTCTTAAAACAAATCGGGTGAAATATAATTGCATGCTCAATAATTTTTTTCAATTTATGAATCTAAGGTGCAACCAAATAAAACATCAATACTAATACACTGTAACAGTTTTTGTTCTTTTTTTTCCATTAAAAAAAGAAATTGCAATTATTTGTCATGCTACTCTGCAAATTAATTGTTGAAAAAAGAAATATAACACAGAATCAAATTAATCTTTATAACTTTATATCAAATTCATTTTAAAAATAATAAAGTGTCCGACCACAGCATGATACTCCCGTCAAATATTGTTCATTCAATTAATATAAACAATTTAAAGTGCGAGGATATCATGGCAACCTTTAAAAGGATTTCCATAATTTTTTCCACTTTTTATATTTGTTTAAACATCTCCTGTGGTATAAGGATTAATCATACCAAATAATCATCAAATGGTTGCATTATAGCTTGACAAATGCCCCTCACCCACAAACACACATATATGCATGAATCTTTCATGTGGGACATGGTGCTTTAAAATATATAGCTTGACATTTTAATTTTTTTTAAATATATCAATTTACCTAATTAGTATTAAAAACTAAATCTATACCAAATTGATTTTAGAAATTAAAGGCTGGCTATCAAATAACATATATGCTATTTAAACTGACCAGCAGTTCTTCTGTCTAATTCCCAAAGGACCTATCACAGATAACAGCTAACAGAAATGATAGAGACAGCTAGCTTTCCTACATTGATCTTAAACTAATAAATCTTTGACTGGTTGCATGTCCACTGATTAATGCCAAGGGATGCAATTTTCTGATTTCAAAATTCTTCTTGACCAGTGCTTGATAATTATACCCTTGGGAGAGGTAGATTATCTCTTATAAAATAACATTTGATATGGATTGCTGTAAAGTATATAATGAAAAAATATTATTTTCTTAATTTAACATTTTTTAAACAGGGATACAGAAACACTCTTACATTTTTGGGATTGTGTAATTCAATAGTAAAAGACACGTTTCTTTTTAAAGTTTCACTTATATTAAAGGTCACGGTGACCTTAAAATAGGTTGTAACACACCTTCTACCCAAGATGCATTAATTGTCCAAGTTTGATGATTGTCAGTCTTATAGATTTCTAGTTATGGGCCAAACTAAACCATAAAAGAAAAAAAAAGACACCTGTAAAATGCAGAAAAATCATCCAATCATGATGAAAATACCAGGTGCACACCTTCATATAGTGAATAATAAGTAAAATGCAGAAAAATCATCCAATCAAGATGAAAATACCAGGTGCACAACTTCATATAGTCTATAATAAGTGTACAAATTTTCAGACAAATCCATCCAATAGTTTCTGAGAAACGGTCCGTACAAAATCTTGTCTACAGACGGATGGACAGCTAGACAGACAGACAGACGGACATGTTGATTCCAATATACGCCCCTAAACTTCGTATGCGGGGGTATAATAATCCACCAAGTAATACCAATAGTATAATATTTATCATGAAAAATCAAATAAAATATACATTTAAGTCACCAATTTCAAAATTGATCAGAATACTGTAATGGAAAGTTTTAAAATTATCATTTTAGTTTTATTGATATATGTTTATCAAATTGATATCATTCCCATTATTTCAAATTGTTTGTTTTCTGACATTGTTTGTTTAATATATATATTCAAATATACAATATGTATTTTTAGTGAAGGAGAATGTACGATGACTGTTAAAAAAATAATTTCCTTGGTGCCCTAAAAGAAACAAAAAAGCTTTTCAATTAATGATTTAGTCTTAATTATTTCTGTTTAGCAATAATTGTTTTTAGAATTCGATTTTGAGTATTTTGAGTATGACCTTTCGTATACTGGATTATGCAAGATTTCTATGATTTCTTGGACTTGTTTCTGGCATATAAATCTGTCTTTGTGCTCACACTTTTGCTTTTTTAAGCAACATTTATTCTAATTTTTATTCTTAGCTTTCACTTCAAAAAAGATAATGCACAAGTTTGCCTTTCTGAGTTATTTATACATATAAAGATTCATCTAATTAGAACATAAAAATGAAAAAAAAAATCAGACATTGACAAAGTTTCTGGACCATCCTTTGACCTCTGTGTATCTCATATATTAGAACTGGATACTCTTTTGTAGCATGGGGTTACAACAATTTTTTTAAACAAAGATTTACTTTCATACATTCTAAAAGCATCCAAAACCAGGGGCCAAAAAGGGGCCGTAGTCTACCTTGTCAATTTAGTTTTTGTATAGGATCAGACAAGTGCTCATATTAAATGCGATTTGTATGCTATCAATTATCTCAAATCAACAAGAGGCCCATGGGCCTCATCGGTCAACTGAGCTCCTTAGCTTGGAAAAAGCAGAAATTAGTAATTGTTATTTTTAATTATAAAAATAAAAGTGGTGTATGGAATCGAAGGGAGTGGTCATTACATGTATTTAAACGTCACTTGAAACAACACCAGAGGATGTTCCATATCACCAATACCCATTGCTTATGTAAATTTAACCTTTATTTTTATCTGCTATTCTGTTGTAAAACTTTGAATGCTAATTATGATCCCAGCTATCCATTAATTGTGGTTAAAACATGAACAAATTAAAATCTACACTGACTGAGGAAACTTCAAAATAAGTATTAGTCACTAATCAATACTTTTAATTACTGATATTAAGAAGAAAGCTTTTAAAGACTTTTCCTTGTATATAACTTTGTTTCCCTACCATGGCCCACCCTTTACATTTTGTACAATTTAGTGTGTACCTAAGGCAAGGTCAACAAAAGTTTCACCTGTTCTGGCCTAATGGTTCTTGAGCCCACATTACCTTGTTATCACAGGTTTGAGAAATAGGAAGTGTCTAATCAATAAACAGCTGAGATAGAGAGAATGACAGAGAAAAACTATGTAAAGTGATCTTTAAATGATGCTTAGTCACACAGAAATATTTGTAATTTGATTACCTGTTACATTAAATGGTTTCACCATATGTTTAGAAGCCTTGCTCAAAAGATCATTTTCAAACATTTCTAGATCCAATTCACATTCTAAAAGAAAAAGCATAAATATCAGCATATTTTTTCGGGTTTGCTAAATTAACAAAACTCTATGTTATATTTTCCTTTTTATAAACATCTACCACACAGCACTTTGAACAGTTCTGTTTTCTGTTGCAGCACAGTTAAGGTTACATTAAGGAGGTGTTTACAGCATGTATGACATCACACACAATACATATAAGGTCTTCAAAATACCATAAAATGAAATCAATTGATATCTCAAACTGCTGGGTAGCTGTTGACTACATGAAAACTTGGTATTACATGCAGTTTTGTCGATTATTAAAACTCACTCAACAATATATAAACGATTCATCAAATGCAATGTACTTGTCAATGTGACGTCATCTCGCACAAATTGACGCAGTTTGTACTTAGTGAGAGACTGATCAAGTCACATTTTGTTCAATGCAAAATGTTTTTTTTTTTCTCAAACAAAATATTATTTGCAGTTATATTAAAAGGCCGTTAACTTGGATGCGATGTCTGTTTTACTATTTTATTGATATACAGTCTGTATATTCTCCAGATAAGTGATACTGTCATGTGTTTGTATAGATACTCCTTAAAAAAAATACGAAATCGCACAATGTATATGTCATATGTAGTAGAAGGACCCTAATCAATCCTTTTATTGCAAGGGCATAACCTCAATGCATCTTTCCAAGTTTTAACATGTAAAACCTAGAAGATATTTGAAAAGTGCTGCGAACCTCATGAATTTTGCAAATGAATTATTTATACTTTATTTAATGATTTATTTATTTGGAAAAATATTCTGTCTTTTCAAGCATCTATGACAACTCTGGTACCTTCCATCATTTAAAAACAAAATATGGGGTCAAAAGGAAATATTATACTTATACAAACACGTTTAAAACTTTATTATCATTATTTTTTTCAATAAACATCATTGATCATCTCAATCTTTGCATTTGAGAGAGGGTGTGGTCCTTCATTTGAACAAACTTGAATCCCTTTACTTAAGGATCATTTCTGGCAGGTTTGTTGAATTTGGTCTCGTGGTTCGGGAAAAGTCAAAAAATTAAAAAGCTGACAGAAGGATAACAGACTAAATGTGATTAGAAAAGCTCACTTGAGGTTAAGCTTAGGAAGCTAAAACATTAAAACACTTTATTATCAATAAAATCTTAGTAAGAAAAGTACGGAAGCCCATTTAGGACCTATCGAAAAATATTTTTGAATCCGATATAACGAGTTGTCGAATTTGTAATAACGAATTTAATTTGTTAAAACAATTTCTTTGAATTCGTTATAATAAACTTAATCTGTTATAACAAATTTGTAGATGAAATGATTATATGTCAATGAATATTTGATTGTTCGACATCAAATCATATACCTTTTGATGTGTCCCTTTCTCTTGGTTTATGCCTTCTGTTCCATATATATATCAAAGCAGCCACAATAAGAAGTATAATAAGTGCAATTATCACAGTAGCCCAAGCAGTAGTATCCTTATTATCTGATCTGCAAAAAAAATGTATTTTTATAGAATAAAACTGTCTTTAATAGAACTGATCAAAATGGACTAACACAACAACTTGGTTTTTCAGAGATTTAAAATGCAGCATTTAATGGATCTAAGAGATGTTTACATTTTGAGTAAAAAGTTAAATTTAATTGTATATTATATTTCTGATTAATTTAACTAAGTCATAAGACCTACTCTGATAAAAAAAAAACAGCATACAAATAATTACCTTGTGTTTTTTTATCACATTGACATTAAGAAAATAAATTGCAATTATCTGCCATAACTATGTAACATAACACTCTGCTAATGCATTGTTTAAAAACTTAACAAAAACAAGAGGCCCATGGACCACATCGCTCACCTGAGCACTGCGGCTAGGAAAAAGTAGAAATTGGTTAATTATTGAAAAGTTTAAATACAAAAGTAGTCTCATGACAAATCATGGCTTTGCTATTCTTGAGAAGATGACTTATAAAGAATTTTCCTACATATGACTATGTAAACTTTTGATCAGCCATTGTGGCCCCGTCCTGCCCCGGGGAGTCATGATTTGAACAAACTTTAATCTACACTACCTGAGGATGTTGCCATATAAGTTTCATCTTTCCTGGCACAGTGGTTCTTGATAAGGAGATTTTTAAAGAATTTTCCTTGTATACTTGTACGTCTATCCTGGTGTTACAGGAAAAATTGAATGAATGTTATCAATTAAATGCATGTACATACATGTATGTGCAATTAACTGATTGCAAACATTTGAATACCTGAAAGATGATTGATTGATTGTATACTGTTTAACGTCCCTCTCCAGAATATTTCACTGATATGGAGATGTCACCATTGCCGGTGAAGGGCTGCAAATTTAGGCCTATGCTCGGCACTAAAGGCCTTTGAGCAGGGAGGGATCTTTATCGTGCCACACCTGCTGTGACACGGGGCCTCGGTTTATACGGCCTCATCCGAAGGACCGCCCCGTTTAGTCGCCATTTACGACAAGCAAGGGTTACTGAGGACCTATTCTAACCCGGATCCCCACGGGGTTGAATACCTGAAAGAAAATTGAATCTATATATGTTGGAAATTACAAACAAATGGGCATAATTAAGCTAAAATATTATACAAATTGGCATTTGGGAATTTGTGATGGGCGTTGTGATGGACATTTTCACAGTGGCATATTGATATTGTTTCTATACACATTTTTATTGGCCCGGATCGATAGATCGGTGGCTTTGTTTTTGTCCTGTCTATCTGTAAACTTTAACCATGATCGAGAGATGGAGACTACATATATAATCTACAAAATAGATTCTACACAATCCAAATTGCTTTCACAAAAGTTTCATCTTTTCTAGTGGTCCATGGATTCTCGAGGATTGATTGATTGATTGTATATTGTTTAACGTCCCTCTTGAGAATTTTTCACGGTATGCCGGTGAAGGGCTTCAAATTAAGACCTTTACTCGTCACTCAGGGCCATTGAGCAGTGAGGGTTCTTTATCATGCCAACGCCTACCGTGACACGGGACCTACGTTTTTAAGGTCATATCCGAAAGACCCGTGATTTCACTTCTAGTGCCGAGCGCTTGGCGAAGGAACAGTCACTACCTTTGTTTACGTCTTAGGTATGACGCGGCGCCGCGATCGAGAATCGAACCCGGGCCTCCCGATCACGTGGATTCTCGAGGAAAAGATTTTTTTAAAAAATCACCTATATATTTCAATGTAAAACTTGCTTTCCGAAAAGTGGAGCTACCCTACCTATGGGGCCTGTTTCATCAAAGGTCATACGCCCAGTCGTAGCGCTACGCCGGTGTAAAGTCAGGACTAGCACGAAGAGTTGCTTTTCATTAAAGAGCGTATCATTACACCTGCCTAAATTTAGGCCAAACTTTTCAGTCTACTCATGGGTAGGCGTAAGTTCGGGCGTAAAGTTAAAATAAAGCAATTTTACTGATTTTAAAACATGTTAGCGAGTTCTAAAAAAAAAGTATGGTTCTAAGGAGTTTTTTAAATAAAAATAATGCATTATTTAATTATACATACTATGAAGAGGGGAAGGGGGGGGGTGCTACATTTGGGGGCGTATTTGAATGGAGTAATAATATACTTAATATTTTAATAATTTTTTTTCTGAGAAGAAAAGATTGTCTTATTAGAGATTTCTTCGACCACCATTTCTTACGTATTGGCAATGCATTCTTATGCATTTGATTGTTGTATTGCATGACGTATAAGGTATTGTAAATCGACTATTCATATACATTGTATTGCTATTTTGGTATATAGTAATCGGGATGTCCGTCCGTCCGTCTGTTACGCTCTAAGGTACCCATCTCTTATTCGCTTTTCCTCTCATACTTTTGAATAAAATTTAATGAGACTTTCACAGAATCATTATACATATTGCCATTGTGGCTTATTTTACTTTTAGAACCGACACATATTTTGAATTAATCTTCAACTTGATGAAGGAGGCCAGACAGAGGAAAAATTTCCCATTATTAGCAAAACATGGACACTGCCATTATATTCATGTGGGAGGTGGGGTGTATCATTTAGTAATGTCATTGCTCACAGTACCTCTAGTTAAATATTCTGTTTCATTCACTGAAATGAGACCCATTAAAATTGTCTATTTGAAAGACTAGAACTGTCCAATAGGGACAAATACCCCCCGCTGGGTTTTTCAGAGAATGTGCCAATTCAAAAATACTTTATGGATCTAGAGGTGTTCACTATTTACTTATAAAAATTTACAGTAAAATATAAGTGCTCATTATGTTTCTTAATGAGTGAAACAAAAGTGCAACCAAATGAAACATCAATACTAATACATTGTAATTCAATCGTAACATTTTTTTATTTCTGCATTAAAGAAATATATTGCAACTAGTGCTAATTGTAACGGGGACCGTTACAGATGTTCCCCAAACGCTCCCCAACTTCCTTTTGGTGCCACATTCCCTGTAAGCTTCATTAAATAAGACAAACTCTATGCATTTGAGGCTTTAACAACATTTACCCAGGAGAAAGTACCAAGTTCATTCAAATTTTAGAGTTCCACGCGTGCGCTTGTGAATGCATGTGCGTAATGACCATATCATCTTGTCTATACAATCTTTATATTTGAATATACTAAATATTAAAGTAATTAATCCAAAATTATTAAAAAAATACTCTCATTAAACTGTATTTTTGATTATACTCATTTCACGTGGAAGCACGTGCATACATGAGCATAATGACGATACCTTCTTGTAGAAGTCCATTACATTTATCTATGCTCTAAATCCCACCCCGTTTGGTTGAAAACCAAGGGAGTTATAGCTGTTTAAAGTTTCAGCCAATCAGATTGCAGTGCACGTACACGCACGTGTATGCATATGCATGATGACCATACCATCTTGTAGAAGTCTATTATATCTATCTATGTTCCAAATCCCATCCTGTTTGGTTGAAAACCAAGGGAGTTATAGCTATTTAAAGCATAAGCCAATCAGATTGCAACGCATGTGCATGCACGTGTTTTCATGATAATTGCTATATATTTTATTGTAGGATATCCTAATACATGCCTATGTTAAAAATTTCAAAGGATTTCGTCAAAAAACAAGAAAGATATTGAGACTTTAGTTTCAGCCAATCAGAGCAAAGCGAACGTGCATGCGCGTGAGATCTTGCTTTTTTGACCATGTCATCTTGTCTATGCTTCTAATATTTACTTTTAATATGAGTTTCAAAGCATTTCATCAATAATTTAAATAGTTACGTCTGTATCAATTATGTTGGACATTTCTCATGTTGCACATGCGAGCTCTTGCAAGCACACGTGCATGCACATGCTTTCATGACAAATCTTATATTACAGGCTGTAGATCTCCCTAATGTTAAACTATGTTCAAAATTTCAAATGATTTTATCAAAAAACAAGAAAGATATAGAGACTTTAGTTTCAGCCAATCAGAGCAAAGCGCACGTGCAAGCGCGTGCAATCTTGCTATTTTGACCATGTCATCTTGTGCATACTACTAATATATCCTTACATTATGAGTTTCAAAACATTTTGTTAAAAAATAGAAAAGTTACTGTTTTATCCATTATATATTGGTCATTTCATGTTTTGCACGTGCGCGCTCTTGCACGCACGTGCGCGCAAAATGACCTTCGTTCCGCAAATCTACATAACATGTCTACTGACCCTAAAAACATTTCACCTAAATCGGATGTGTTGTTTGCAAGATCATTCGCGGACAAAATTTTCCCGAGAAGAAAAATAATAATAATAATAATAATAAGAAACAGAGTAAAAACAATATGTTCCCCAACTTCGTTTGGGGAACATAATTATGTGTCATGACACTCTGCAAACTAATTGTTGAAAAAAAAATTATTATACAAAATCAAATTAATCTTGACATATCAAATTCATTTTGAAAATAAAAGCTGGTCATCCAGTAATGAAGTGCTTTGACAGACAATAAATTACAATTAAGAGAATAAGAGAAGAGAGATCTTTAATTCTTGTGCCTTATTCCCTGGAGATTTGATCACACACACACGCTTGATAAGAGATATGCCTTAACAACCCCCAACACCAAACTCATTAATTTTTCTTTGACTGGATGCGTGTCCAGTCATTATTCCCAAGAGACAAATGAATTTACATTATTTTCTATGTAATGTAAAAACTGTTTTAAACACTTGATGATGTCTCTTTTTTTTAGTTTTAATGAGTTGTTTTAAGCTGTACTAGTTCACATTTTTGTACAGATATTCTAGATTCTATCTCTCAAACCTTTAAATGAGCCCAAAATGAACAAGTCAATTTAAATAAAAAGTAAAACCTGTAAAATGCAGAAAAATAAACAAATAAAGTTGAAAATTCCAGATTCACACCTTCATATGGTGTATAATAAGTGTGCAAATTTTCAGATAAATCCTTGCAATAGTTTGTGAGAAACGGTCTGCACAAGACCACAAAATAAAAATG